GTGTAGCACTGTCTTCTGCCCTTTGTTGTAGATCTTTGCTGTAGTTATAACCTTCACATGTACTGAAGTTCAGGTGGAGCTCTACAGAGTTTGGGGTTATCCAGCTGCGTCTGGCTTAGGTCTGGCTCCTATGCTCAGCTCCTTCCCGCTGCGGACCTGGGCTAGGATTGGGTCTGGGGGTTCCCAGAACTCAGCAGAAATTCCTCCTTAGCGGGAGGGGTGGGGCAGGTAAGGTGGAGTGGTGGGGGACAGCCCGAGGGGGCAGGAGAGGGTCCGGCCCACGCTGCACCTCGGCTGGGACTGGTCCCGCTGGCACAGGGTAGCAGGAAGCTCTCCACACACTCACTGGACCTGGGCTAGGACTGGGTCTGGGGGGTTCCAGGAAGTAGGCAGAAATTCCTACTCGTGTCTCATGAGTTTTGAGTATCTTCTCAGACTAAATTCTATAAATGTAAATCAGTAGCCCTTTAGCAATAATGTTTAATATTTGTAAACCTTTTTACATAAATTATCAAAAAAGTTCAATCGCTTGTGTTCTTAATACTTTAAAACTGAATTCCTTAAACCCTCATTCATAACATAATTTAGAAATCTGCTTACATAGTTCTATAAGTCATTAATTTTACTGTAGGTTTTTAATAATATTACTATTATTAATAATGTCTGGAAAAATCATAGTGTTCTTCACAGTCATATTGCTTTTTTTATTTTTTTTTCCAGATGGGAGATATACGCAGTATTCCAAGATCTCACAGATTGTTAAAGAAACATTTAACCAACTAATTTCCAGTCAGTCACAATATCTGAGGTGTAGCAATTCATTGGCTGCTTTTATTGTTGAAAGAGGTCAGTCCATTTATTTGGGATGTGTTTATACAAGAACTAGCATCTTAATGATCTAAACTGTAACAGTAATATTTTCATTAATTATCTTTGCCTCAGTTGACAATGGTATACTGATCTGAAGTGATTCTTTTTGTTGCAGAATATAAAAACAAAATACTTTTAGTTAATGAAAATTCATAGCAGAAAAATAATAGGGTGTAAGTGTTCTGAAACAGATGAGACTTAAGGTGTAAGTTTAAATATTGATAAAGCTTTGCTTTGCTGTATAGAGAAAAGGCAAACCTTTTTGGAGAGAGGAAGACATAAGAAAAGAGTAGTATAAAGCTAAGTTGGGGCATGGAAGAGATGAATTTATTACTTGTACATAGTATATTTTCAGGGGCAATGAAAAGAGAGTTAAACTGATGACATGGTAGCAGATTACATTGTGCCTTAACAACCAGTCAATAGTTCAATTTAATAAGATTGCTAATAATCTGAGGGCCAGCCAGATAGCACATTGGACTAAAGCACCTGCTTAGACAGAGCACAGTGGCCAGGGTTCTATTCCCACCATGCCATGCCAGCCCCGCCCCTGGGGCACGCTGAGATGGCAGTTGAGACTGGGCATGGTGGCACGTGCCTGTAATCCCAGCACTTGGGAGTCTGAAAACAGGAGAATCACTATGAGTTCTATCTATGTAGTGATACCCTGTAGACACTGTAGATCCTGTACTAAAATGCATTTTAAAAAAAGATTGGTGATCTGAAAGATTTCAAGCAGGAAGGCTGTAGAACATGAGCATCAGACAGCTCTGCAATTTAAATTACTTAAGCTATTTATACATTCAATGTGCTTCAACTTTATTCTCCATTTGCAAAACTACAATAATAGAAACAACCCCTGTCATGGGATTTATAGAGTTAAATGCTAAACCAAATAATTAGCACATTACTTGAAGTTTAGTGAAAGTTTAATAATTTATGTTTGTCTTAAGGTAAATTAATTTTTAAGTAATAGTTGATAGCAAATAATTTTTTTAGATTATAGGAGTTGAAACTGAATTAGAAAATCAGCATTTAGGTGGTTTTGGTGACCTGCTTCTAGATTTTAAATGAATATAAATAAAAAGAAAAAAATTATATTCTAGAATTTTTGATATAATATGAATGTGAAAATGAATGATAGATTATGAGATAAGTAAAAGTAATAACATCATTTAAAGTTTATATTGAGTAGCATTTGTGTACACATAGAGATTCTGAAAGTTGGTTTGAAGTTAGGTTGAGAAGAACATGACTAAGAATAATGTATGTGATTCTAGAAGTTGTGATACAAACATTCCTAGAGTAATACACAATCAATACATATTTAAAATATATTGTTACTGCTTGTTACCTTACCTCATCATTTTTAATTGGGTCTGTAAGAAATCATAAAATCTAAATGCCCTTTCTCTCTCTCCCCCTGCCTCCTGTCCTCCTACCCTCCTACTTTCATTCTCTCCAGCAAAGCTGTTTTCCTGTACTTGCATTCTTCTCTACTGTAACAGTAGGTTATAGATTAATTCTTTCCCTTAGGTTCATTCCATTCCCTTTCCCATCCTGAGGCTCTTCTTTTGGTTATCTTCTCTTTTCCCTGAATTATTAAATTTAAATATACCAATGAAGCATTGCAGATTTAATAAGCTGAGAAAGCTGAGTTCTAGCTATAATAAGTCCCCTTAAAACTGAGATCTTACATCACTGTTTAATTCTAGAACTTTCACTGACATTGTATCATTCTTCTTAAGGGAAGGTTTAAACACTTCGTTTTTGAGTCACATTCAGCATTCTCAGGACCACATTCCTATCAGAGGTATGAAAACTGAATCTGTGTTCAGGTGTCCCTGAATAATATGTATGTGCCATCTTTCCAGTCACCTGGAAAGCCTGGATATGCAAATGTCTGTCTTAAAAATAAAAGCAAACTTCCTTTAAACTCTTGCAGTACCCTCTAGTGTAAATCTGTAGTTGTTGTTTACTTGATTTACTGGCCAAACTTGATCAAGAAATTGTTTAGAGTCACTGTGTCCCCTCTTTACTCCAATTTGTTTTTATCTTCTACTTCTTGGAGAACTGCTCTTGTCAGTGCTACCCACTTCTGACATGCTATGAAATCCAGCGAATGGATTTCATTCTCTATTTACTCAACTTTCCAGAAAAATATAAGTTTTACTATATGTTTTTTCATCACCCCAATAGTCTTCTAGTTTACCTACCCTCCACCCTACCTCGTCACAATATTGGTTATAATATATACAAAAATTATGTAGTAAAACTTTTATTTTTCTAGGACTACAGAACATTTAGAATTTTAGGACTATAGTATGTTATTAACTATAGTCGCTATGTTGTACATCAAGGTCTCCAGAACTTAGTGTAACTGTCAGCTTATCCCTTTAACCATCTCTGTCCATTTTTCCCACTTTCTAATCACTAGCAACCCCTCTTTTTTTTCAAAATTTTATTGATAAAGCAGTGAGACAGTTTCAAATCAAATCGGAAGTACAATTTCAACAAATAACACACTGCATATATTCTTCTTAGTGGTTAATTGCTGTACAAGATGC